ATCGCGGTGGTTGGGCAGAGGGGCACTCACTTCTCCGGAGGTGACGCGCTGCGGGTCCCTGAAGTGCGCGCCCGGCCGCGGAGGATGCGGGGCTGCGGGAGGAAAGCGGGCCGGTGATCCGCGGGCGCCAGGTGCCGGGCCAGGGGGCGTTCCGGGAGGACGCGGGGCGGGGTGTCCACACGTACACAAACACAAACACGCTCCCCGGCCCCGGGAGGGCGGGCCCACGCCACCTCACCACTCCCCGGCCCCGGACCCCGCGGCCCACCGCGCACCCAGGGCCCGTGCCCCGGGGGAACCAACCCGCCCCAAGGGAACTGTAGCGGCCGCAGGCTCCGCTCGCTATAACGGCCGCGCAGAAGCTACGAGCCTCCCGGGGAGTCGCAGGGAGACGTGGCGGAGGCTGCGGGCGGAGAGATGACGGAGTGAAGCGCCTCTCCCAACCACGGTCCAACGCGCGGGAAGCGGTCAACCCACCCCCAACCTCGTCCGGTCGGCAATCGCCTCTCCCACCTTCCGCCACCGCCTAAGGGAAGCCGGAACGACGGGGGTCACGGTGGGGGTCAGAGGGTAAAGGTCTTGCTCCCAGCAGCCTCCGCGGTGGATACGTCGCCATCTTGGATCCGCGGGACAAGAAAATTCATGCGGTGAGTTTTTGGCAAATTTTCGGAAGTCTGGCAGCGGGGCGCGCGGCTGGGGCGGCGGATTCGGGGCCCCCGCAAGGCGGGGGAATGCCTCGGGGCCGGTCCGGTCGCGCCTGGGGTCCGCGGGCAGCGTCCCGGCCCGCCGCTTCCCGTTGCTTTTGTCTCGGCTCCAATCGAGAGAGGGAGAGCAGAGCGGGCGGGGAGGGGGGGTGGCGGCGGTGGAGGGAGGGAGAGAGGGAGGGGGTGTGTATGGGGAGGGTGGTGGATGGGACGTAAAGCGTCGCGGTACTTGGGTCGTTGCAGCAGCAGCAGCAGCTCGGGATCGTAGGCCCGGTCCCCTCGGTGGGCGCTGGGCTTTTCCCTCAGACTCGGGTCTCACGGGCTCCCGCCAGCGCGAGGAGCCTGCGCCGCGCTGCTTCCTGGGGAAGAAGAGGAGGCAGCGGCGGCGGTGGCCGGGGAGCCCGGGCCCGCTCTAGACGGCGCTGCCGCCTTCCCCTGAGCTGCCGCGGTCCCGGGCTGTTCACATTCTCTCCGTACACGCACATCACCTGCAACTTGTGTGTGTGTGTGTGTGTGTGTGTGTGTGTGTGTGTGTGTAAGATGGGTGGTATTGGACTAACGGGTCTCGGGAGCCCGCAGGCTCTGGGATGCCGAAGGGTTCGGGTGATGGAAGGAGGAGTGCAGCTGTGATGCTTCCTCTGCCGCCGCGCCCGGAGGCCGAAGCCCCCGCCGTGCGGTAGAGTCGGAGTCCGGAGGGTCCCGGGCTGGCGGGAGGAACCCGGGACGTGGCTGTCTGTGAAGTTGCCGGCCCCGGGTTTCTACTTCCGTCGGGGCCTCCGCACCTTTTGCTGGCTTCGGTCTCACTTAAAAGTTTTACGGAAGACATGAGTGGAGTTAAAGGCGGCCTTCCTCGTTCCTGGTCGAGGCTGTGCTGTCCGCCTAGGCGAGAAGCCCGGTGACGCTCGGTGACTGGCGATCGTTTCTGAATGCAAGCTGAAGTTTCCTTTAGTGAAAGCAGTGCCAGGGCTTTAGAATTTGCATTTATTCCAGGCCCCGGGAGCGCGGTGTTACCTCGGTGAAAGTCTTAACATACGGGTACCACACTCTCGGAAGGAGCCTAAACATCAACTTCCTTTGGGTCCTAGGAGATGCCTGCAACATCCAGAAGCCCGAATGCAACACTTTTTTTCCCCTTCCCTCTCCGTTTTCATAAAACTGTTGGTCATAAAACTCCTTTCTTAATCTTCAGGACAGTTTCTAATAAGTATAAGGAAATATGCACTGACATGAACCCTTAGATTTTTGGTGAAATGGTAGACGGTATTGAGTTAAAATCTGTTCCTGAGGGAGGCTGTACTTGAGTTTAGTTCATAGTTGAACACATTTTCTGTCATGCTTGATGTTAGGAATGTCTAGACTTCTGGAATAAGTGCAACTTTTGGTTTGCCTTTTGAAACAACAGTGGAAGTGGGGGGGGGCATAGAAATTTGAAAATATTTACGTATTTACATATGTTTATGTTGAGTTATTAGGGAACACTTCCTGTTATTTGACCACATTTGTTTCCAAATGTCAATGAATACATTTCTTTTGCAATTATGGACGATGAGTTTTCTAGATTTAAAGGGTTAAGAATCACAGTGGACTGAACTGGTTAAATGTATATTTAAAATGGTTAGATGTCTACATTCTGAGCTCTTTTTATTGAAATACTTCTAAATGGACCGAGATCTTTAGTAAGCTTTCTATGTTGAACAACTCTAGTTTGTAGTTCTTTTGTAATACTAAATCAGAAGGAAAAATTCACTGTAAAAAAGGCAAAACTTCTGCACTTCTTTCTTGACTTCTTAAGATCCTCATTTAATTTTTAAAAGTTCATTTTCTATCATTTTTTTCCCTGAGGGCTTGAATTGCAGTGACTTCTGTAAATACTTTGTGTATTAGAAAGGAGCTGAGAAACTTTCACATTTTTTTGCATCCTAATTAATGCTGTACCAATAAAAATGAATGAATGTAGGTATCATTTGTTGGCAGAAACCTTTTATTCTAAGTATACTATGTAGAGCTATCTGTAACCCAATATGATAACTCTTGGGGAATGAGAATTGCCTGCATATTTAACCAAGCAACAAATACAACCTTTAAAACATTTTCAGTTTCTATAATACTTCCGTTTTAAAGTAAACTTACATGGTGGAAAAACAAGGGCAAAATTTATAGATATGAGTGACTTCTATCTCTTTCATTTGAAAAGTACTTGATCTTGAAGATAAAGTAAAGCTAGTTCTCCCAAAGATAACTAATTACCTATGTTTATACTTTAGAACTTTGGATATTTAATTTACTTTAATTTTTGGGAGCTACTTTACAGTTAGCTATAACCTGAAAATTCTGTTTATTCAAAAGTAAATAAATACTTTAGATTTATGAGTAGATTTTTCTAGAAGTACTTCTAACCCAGTTTTGGTTTTTATCTCTTCAGTAGATAGATATTGATATTAAAAGTACTTGTATTTGGGGGAAAAATTGCAGTTTTTTTTTTTTCACAATCTTTGGGGAGTTACAGTATTTCCCTTTTTAGTGACAAATTTGCTTCATAACATTTTCTGATACTATAGAAAAATAAAGAAAAGGTAGGTTTGCTTCATGTAAGCATATGAAATAATGAGTGTAACAGACTAGTAAGGAAGTTAACAAATTTTTTGCTCTTTGTTTTAAAATTTTTAAGTGTAGAAAGTTCATTCTATTATGATTACATAAAATCAAACTTTCCATGTACTTGCTTAAATAAGCATATGAAGACAACTTATGCAAATAGTGATACAATCTTAGCAGAAGATACTACTAAATAAGATTTTATTTGTTACATAGACTTCTAGTGGATTTTGTAATACAAAGAAGCAAAAGAAACCAAGGTACCAGGTAGGGCAGTTTTACAGACAGAGTTACTGTGAGTTACACTGTAATGTTTGAATAGAATTATATACAAGATTGATGTCAAGGGATCCAATACTATGATAGGAGTCATTCTGGTTGATTATACAGGTGACTGTCCTTACTAAGGATGATTTCTACCTGTGATACTTAAATGAATTTCAGTGTGACTTTGACCAGATATTTTAAAAAGAGCTATATACTAAAATTGATGTCTCTTGTAGAAAGTCTGTCTTTGAAAAGAAGTAGAACAGACATTAGGATTTTAAGTTTTCAGAGTTATTTTTATCATTTTTTATCTTGGTTTTGTTCATTCAACCTTTTCTTCAATTTAAATAGTATATATATATATATATATATATATATATATATATATATTCTTGTTACTTTAGTTTTTTTTGTGTTTTTTTTTTTAACTTGGCTTCCTTTTTTTAAACTTTAAAGACTCCTTTCTTATGACAAGTCACACTGATGTAGCTTGTTCATTTATTTACTTTGTCTATAAGGATGACCTAGAAAAATAATTTCTAACAGCTTGTTCTCTGAAATACAGATGCAAATTTCCAGGTATATCACTTGGGGGTATGCTTTATTTGGAACTAATAAAATGGTTTGTAATGTTATATTTTTTTGTAAGACCCATAACTTATATAATATGGAAATGCAAAATGAATTATCCAGGAGGGAAAAGAAAATTTCCCTTTTCTGAATACACTTTAATGTGTTATATATGCTTAGATTCAGGATCCAAGTCTGTTTATATACTAGATATTTTGGACATGTTTGCACCTTACTATGAAAGTGTTCCTCTCTTTTTTTTTTTTCTTTCAGGTGAATGTATTTAGGTGTGTATGAGGGAGGGATATTTTTACTATCTCTTCTCTGTTGTTTTACAGACTTCTTATTCTTCAAAACTCTACTCAGGTGTCGCTTTCTTTTTTATACTTTCATATGAATTTATTTTTTATTGTTTAAAGTATTGGTGTCGCTTTCTTACTGAAAATTTAGCTGGCCCCCATACTGTTTTTATTGAACATGTCATACTGTATTGTAATTTACTGTCCAACCCCATTATCCACTATAACCTCCACTGGACTGTAAGCACCTAAGAGGTAGTACTTGTCCTGTTTATCTTTACATTTCTAGTATTTTCTCTAGTGCACAGTGCTTAGTAGGTATCGATAAATATGCAATAAACAGAACAGGTGCCAGATTGTCATTTGACACTTAATGCTATCAGAGTGCTCTGCTTCCCAATCTACATCTCAGACTGGTTGGAAGGGGATGGGAGAAGACCATCCTGCATTCCTTCACTTCTTTGAGTCCTTACAGTTTTGTTTCTAAATTATCTATGGAAAACAGATAACCAGCTTCTTAGAGAAATGTGTGTAGAGTGCGTGCAGGACTAAGGGAAGGATGTTAGTAATAAAGTGCTTCTGGCAGAGTGTTTAGATCTATATATCTTACTGTATTTTGTATGGCTAAGGTCACTAAGGTCATTGGTTGAAGGAGATATTTTGTATTTATAGTTACATGGTGACATATATTTACCATTGCTTAACCATGTTCATATATAATATATATGCTATTTTAACTTTCTAAAATCTGAAAAATTGCAGTTCGAGATAAACCTGGCCTTTAAGAGTTTGAATAAGAGATTATACACCAGTTTTGTCCCTCCCTCCCCTTTTTTGAGATATAGAAATCAAAACAGGGTAATGACTCCCAGTTGTGTTTAGAGGAGATGCTAACATTTAACTTAGATTTTAGAAATCATGCCTTTTGTTTTATTTGCTTATATATTTTTCAGAGACTTTATAATGACTAAAAACTGCTAAAGATGCAGAGAGGGTATTAATTATTATTTTTTAATTTTTCAGAGAAGAGAGAGAGAAAGAGAAACATTGGTCAGTGGCCTCCCACATGCGCCCCAACTAGGGATCGAACCTGCAACCTAGGTATGTGTCCTGACTGGGATTTGAACCCACAACCTTTTGGGGTATGTGATAACGCTCAACCACTGAGCCACCCAGCCAGGGCAAGAGGGTATATTTTTTAAAAGAGAA